GTTTTCCCCTGACATTAAGTCCAGTCATGTCCAATTCTGGGGGTTGGTGCTCATCTCCATTTCTAAGCCAAAGAGCTGGCATTGTCCGTAGACACCTCCAAGGTCATGTGGCTGGCATGACTGCATGGAGCGCCGTTACCTTCCTGCCAGAGCAGTCACATTTGCATGTTTTCGAACTGCTAGGTTGACAGAAGTTGGGGCTCAAGCCACTCCCTGGATTCAAACCTGTGACCTTTCGGTCAACAAGTTTAGCAGCTCAGCAATTTAACCTGCTGCGCCACCAGGGGCTCTTATTGTTAGGAAATTCATACTAGTGTTTAGATGGAATCTTTTTGCCTGTGATTTTTTGCCTGCAAGGGACCGCAGCTAGTACAGTGGGTTAACTGCCAGCTACTCTAAAATTTTCTTGACTGGAAGGTCAACAGTTCAAGCTGCAGGTGTGGTGAGTGCCCACCATCAACCTTAGCTTCTGTTTACCTACAGTTCGAAAACAAGCAATGTGAGTACATAAATAGGTATTGCTTGGATGGGAAGGTAAAAGGCAGGGGTGCCAGCAAAAATTTGATCAGGAAGGCATCCAAGGATAACAGCCTCCTCAGCGTGGAAATTGGAACAACAACACCACCCCATGGCAGAGTTGAGTACAGCCTCCAGATGCCGGATATTGAAAAAAGTGGGAAGCCTTTCCTCTTATTATTTGTCTTTGTTGTCAATTGTGCGGTATTGAATGTTTGCCATGTATATTTCTGTTATCAGCTGCATCATCATGGGTTTGGTTTTTTAAAAAATTGTTGGTCATACCTTGCGGTATGAGAAGTTTGGAGGCCAAATTTGATGTCAGTTGGCCTCATAGTTTGTTTGTTTTTAGGCTACTAACGATGACCATTAGCTTTTTATATATATAGATAGACAGATATAGCTATTTGAAGCCATTGATCCATGTCAGTCTACAGAGTAACAGAAAAGTTTACTCCCTCCTCAATACAACCTCCTTTCAAGTATGTGAGCAAAGCTGTTATGTCACCTCCTAACCTTCTCTTCTCCACAACTAGTTTCCTAAGCCATTCCTCATAGGGCATGGTTTCCAGACCTTTGATCATTTTAGCAGTCTTTCTCTGCACATGTTCTAGCTTCTTAATATCTTTCTTGATTTGTGAGACCCAGAACTGGACATGGTATTCCAGGTGAGATCTGATCAAAGAGGATAGAGTGGGACCATTCTTCTCTTGATGTAGACATGATGCACCTATTGATCCAACCTAGATGACACTGGTTTTTTTAGCTGCTGCATTATACTGTTGACTCATGTTCAGTTTGTGGCCTAGTCCCAGATCCCTTGCACAGAGCCTATGTCTGCATTTTCCCCACCCATGCTGTACTGCAATGCCCGTAGCGAGGGGGGGGGGGGTTAGGGGTTCACCCCCCCCCCCGAAATTTTTCAGGTTAAAAAAATAAACCTGGTTTACTCATGAATTTTAACTGGTTAACCAAATCCCCATGCTAAGTAAATTTATTTATTTGTTGTGTCAGGGCAACCAGTCAATTATATTACATTTCTAACAGAACAAAGCAAACAAACAGACAAAATACAAAATTTGTGAGTTTGGTAGTTGATTAAATGTCCTTTGACCAGTATCTGGCCACTTGGAGTGCTTTTGGTGTTGCTGCAAGAAGGTCCTCCATTGTGCATGTGGCAGGGCTCAGGTTGCATTGCAGCAGGTGGTCTGTGGTTTGCTCTTCTCCACACTCGCATGCCGCGGATTTTCAACCCTCCCCGAAATCTTTTTCTGGTTACGGCCCTGACTGCAACATACATCAACTGTAGTCAACACAATGGTCAAAGATCATGTCAATTTATTCATCTTAATACATCTTCTCCCACATTAAAAATCCATTCATTTCATACAGATTACATTAAAAAAAATACTAAAATCATTGTCAAAACCAAATCAAAGCATCATCACGTTACTCAATAAAGAGTACAGGTTGAGCATCCCTTATTCAACATACTTGACATCAGAAGGGTTTTGGATTTCATTCCCCCTCTGATTTTAAAATACTTGTATTTGCATATACAATAGAGTCTCGCTTATCCAACCTTCGCTCATCCAATGTTCTGTATCCAATGTTCTTCGCTCATCCAATGTTCTGCCCGGAGGCAGACTTCACAGCCACAGCTGTTTCAATGCATTGTGATGTTTTGCTGTTGAATTCGTAAATACAGTAATTACTACATAACTTTACCATGTATTGAACTGCTTATTCTGTCAATTTGTCGTAAAACATGATGTTTTGGTGCTTAATTTGTAAAATCATAATGTAATTTGATGTTTAATAGGTTTTTCCTTAATCCCTCCTTATGAACCAGCATTTTCACTTATCCAATGTCCTGCCGGCCCATTTATGTTGGATAAGCAAGACTCTACTATAAGATATATTACTGTACAGGAGGTCTCTGGTGACCTTGGGAACAAACCAACAGAAGTGAAGGGCAGGACTGAAATTACTAAAAGAATTAATAGGAGTGGGAGAAGGAATGAGGAGAAAATGGGGATGACAAGAGCATGGGGAGAATGCGTAGAGGAGGGCCTACACCAACCTCACTCTCTTAATGCCTGAGAATTTCCCTTAGGTGGCTGGAGGCAGAGAGGATACCCAGACCAACCTACTACCATGCCTGGTCTCCACAGACTCCCCAGAGCAGAAACAAAGGCAGTGGCATTGGTTCTCCTCAGGGTTTGAAGTTTTAATGGCACCTATGGCAATAACAAAGTGGAGACCTCTCAACTGCTCCTACTCCTCTTTGGCACTGGTAGCTTCTTCTTTCTTCTCCTCATCCAGCTCCAAACTTTGTCCCAACATCTTTGCATATTGTAGTAGTGATAGTCCAGAAAGTAGAGAGCCAAGCAAGCAGGTCTCAGGCTCCTCTTCATCCTCCTCCTCTTTGGTGTGTTGGCCTCACCTTTGCTTTCACCTGCTTCTGATGCATAGAAAGGGGCTCAACACAGCCCTCCCCAGTGTTAGTTTCATGTAAATGGAAAACTGGTAGCAAAAAAAATTATGTAGATTTCAAATTTTGAGACAGAGTTGGCTCAATCTGCATATCAGTTTTAAAAGCCACTTTGAAGAGATGTGTCTACACATCTTACAGAAAGGAAATGAAAGTACCCTGTTTCTTGGAAAATAAGACAGTGTCTTAAATTAATTTTTGCTCTGAAAGCTGCACTAGGTCTTATTTTTAGGGGATGTCTTGTTTTTCCATTAAGAAAAATTCACATTTATTGTTGAACAAAAAATTACGAACATTTATTTTATACTGTACAGTAGTTGTCTGGTCACACTGGTCACCTGACTCACACACACAGCCACCAATAATAAGGGCTGTAAAGTACCTGGCTCCCACATGCCGTCTTGTTGTTGTTGTTCATTTGTTCAGTCGTTTCTGACTCTTCGTGACCTCATGGACCATCCCACTCCAGAGCTCCCTGTCGACCATCACCTCCCCCAGCTCCTTCAGAGTCAAGCCAGTCATCTGTTAAAAGTCTCAAGATATTTTCAAGTGTCAAGTGACTGGCTTGACACTGTCTTGAGACTATAACAATCTCCCACAGCAGTTCCTGGACCACTTATACAGCAAGGATGGTATTGCAGCTTCCAGCCACCAGGGGGAGCAAACAAAAACTTTGCTAGGTCTTACTTTCAGGGGAGGCCTTACAGTGTTCCCTCACTACTTTGCGGTTCGCTTTTTGCAGACTCGCTGTTTTGCGGGTTTTCTTTAACAATGGATTTTAAATACAGTACTGTATACAATTTTAAATACAGTACTGTAGCAAGGGAACACTGGAGGAGGAAGGAGGGTGGATAGATGGATCCCCATGTAGGTTCAGCCTCCTCTTTACCTTCCTCCTCCCCCTCCTCAGCGTGGCCTGGATCCAGCCTGAGCAGCAAGGTGGGCCGGCGGAGGCAGTGGCAGCATAGACTCCTCCTCCTCCTCCTCCTCGGCATTGCTGTGCATGCACCATGGATCCCAGGCTGGACGCAAGCTCGAGGCAGAGGGAAAGCAATGCCCAGGCAGGGGCCAATCACAGCTCGAGATCAGTGCCAGCTGGAGAGAAATCTCTATCATCTCTTTTCCTCTTCCCCCCCCCCCCACCTGTAAGGAACAGTGGGTGGGTTCTCTGAAGACAGAGAGAGATTGATTGAGAGAGAGGGGCCATCTTCCAGAGGGAGAGCGGATGGGGGACCCATGTATATGTATGTATACTGTACATATAGCAGGGGTCCTCAAACATTTTAAACAGAGGGCCAGGTCACAGTCCCTCAAATTGTTGGAGGGCCGGATTATAATTTGAAAAAAAATATGAATGAATTCCTATGCACACTGCACATATCTTATTTGTAGTGCAAAAAACACTATACAATAATTAAAATGATGAACAATTTTAATATAAACTTATTAGCATTTCAGTGGGAAGTGTGAGCCTGCTTTTGGCTGATGAGATAGGATCATTGTTGTTGTTGTTGTTGTTGTTGTGTGCTTTCAGGTTGTTTCAGGCTTAGGTTGGCCCTGAGCGAGGGCCGGGTAAATGACCTTGGAGGGCCGTATCCGTCCCCCAGACCTTAGTTTGAGGACCCCTGCTATATAGCATTCCTACTTTGCTGGTGGTCCTGGAGTGTAACCCTCGCGATAAGTGAGGGAACACTGTATATTCAGCAATTCAGCAAAACCTCTACTAGGTTTTATTTTTGGGGGATGTCTTATTTTCGAGAAAACAGGGTAAGATCTGATTACAATTTTGAAGTTTAACCTTGATCTAAATTTTTAAATGGGTCAATTCTAGGTTAATTTTTTTTTATGTAAGCAGAAGTGTGAACTGTAACTAAATCACCTACCAGAAGCTATGCACATAAACTGTATTTCTTCAATCCAAAGGTGCATATTTGCCCCATAGAAACACCTATAAAAACAGGTGTGTGCTTTTTGGGTGTTTTTTATATTAAAAAATGTTTATCAGTTGGTGCTACTGAAATTAATGTGCATCTTAGAATCTGTGCCGTCTTAACAAAACAACTGAGGTATGGATGATAGGGGTTGGTCTAGATGGCCCGTGTGGTCTCTTCCAACTCTATGATTCTATGATAAGTTCCTCCCTTGTGCAGAAGATCTTTTTGTAGTGACCCCTCATACAGTTTCATTCCAGTGTGATTTCTTCTTATGCAAGGAAAGTTGAGAACTGCATCGGAAACTGTTTCCACACTTGAAGCATTTGTATGGTTTCTCCCCTGTGTGGATTCTTTGGTGAGAATTAAGGCTCATTCTGCGACTGAATCTCTTCCCGCAATCAAAGCATTTATATGGCTTCTCACTAGTGTGAACTATTTCGTGCGAGTAAAGGTCTGAACTGCTTCTGAATCTCTTTCCACACTCAAAACATCTGAATGGTTTCTCCTCTGTATGGATTCTGCAATGCCTTGCAAGGTTTCGACTGTCGGCAAAGCTCCTTCCACACTCGGGGCATGTATAAGGTTTCTCTCCCGTGTGGATTCGATTGTGCTTCGTAAGGGCCCAGCTGTCACTGAAACTCTTCCCACACTCTGTGCACTGAAATGGTTTCTCCCCTGTGTGAGTTCGTTGATGTAAAAGGAGTTTTGAATTGCAAGGGAAGGGCTTTCCACATTGAAAACATTTATACGGGTTCTTCTCTGCGTGGATTCTTTTGTGAGAATTAAGGCTCATGCTGTGACCGAATCTCTTTCCACACTCAGAGCACTGATATGGCTTCTCACCGGTGTGAATTCTTTCATGGGAGTAAAGCTCTGAACTGTTTCTGAAGCTCTTCCCACACTCCAGACAGCTATATGGTTTCTCTTGGGTGTGGATTCGACAATGTCTTGCAAGGTTTCGGCTGTCAGAGAAGCCCCTTCCACACTCAGAGCATTTATAGGGTTTCTCTCCCGTGTGGATTCGATTGTGCTTCGTAAGAGCCGAGCCGTCACTGAAACTCTTTCCACACTCAGTGCACTGAAATGGCTTCTCCCCTGTGTGAGTTCTTTGATGTAAAAGGAGTTTTGAATTGCAGGTGAAGGGCTTTCCACATTCCAAGCATTTGTACGGATTCTCATTTACGTGGATTCTCTTGTGAGAGTTCAGTTGAGCATTGCACCTGAAACTTGTGCCACACTCCGAGCATCGGTAAGGCATCTCTCCTGTGTGGATTTTTTGATGCAAACTAAGTGCCGAACTACAGCTGAAGCTCTTTGTACACTCGGAACACTTATACAGCTTCTTTCCAGTGTGGATCCTTTGATGAGAAGCAAGGCCAGTGTAGTGAGTGAAGGTCTTCTCACATTGAGAGCATTTATACGGTTTTTCTCCAGTGTGAGTCCTTTGATGGGAGCGTAGCTCTGAACTGCATCTGAAACCCCTTCCACACTCAGAACAGGAAAATGGTTTCTCTCTCCTATGGATTCTGCGATGCCGTGTCAGATTGGTGCTCTCGCTGAAACTTCTTCCACAATCTGGGCATGTGTATGGTTTCTCCCCTGTGTGGACCCGCATATGTTTTCTAACTGTTGACCCATACGTGAATCTCTTTCCACATTCCAGGCACTGATACGGTTTCTCTCCTGTGTGGATTCTTTTATGCAAGCTGAGTTTTGAACTGCAAGTGAAGGGCTTGCCACATTCCAAGCATTTAAACGGATTGTCTTCCGTGTGGATTATTTTGTGTGATATGAGCTGAGTGGTGCACCTGAAACGCAACCCACACTCTAAGCATTTATATGGTTTCTCTCCCCTCTGGATTCTAGGGTGTGTACTAAGAATTGCTCTGGTAGTGTTTGGATACTGAAGGAAGATGTTCCTTTTATCTCCAGGTTTAGCACTCTGAGGCTCTCCCAGGACTGTGCAATTATTAAAGTCCTCCCCTTCAGAAGCAATGGATGCTTTTCTCCTCTTCTGTTTTGCTTCTGTTTTCTTTCTTTCCTGATTGGTTTTCTCATTGTTTTGCCATTCTCCTACTGAAAGAGAGAGAGAAAGAGAAAGGCAGCATATATGTGAGAAAGGCAGCATATACCCTGAGATTCCAAGACCTGAGAAGGGCTATCAATACCAAGGTGACTTGATGGTCTCTCATGCATAACAACAATAATAATATTTAAATAATATTTAAATTATATTATTTATTGGCACTTAAGCACTTAGCACTGGGACTGTGACGCAGCTGGCTGGGAGTCAGCTGCATTAAGATTACTACTGACTGAAAGGTCATAAGTTCGAAGCCAGTCCAGGTCGGAGTGAGCTTCTGGCCAATTTGCGTAGCTTGTTGTAGACCTTTGCAGCCCAAAAGACAGCTGCAACTGTCACGTTTTCACATTTCCCTCTCCTTGCAAAGAGAGATTATATTTACGAGGCCATAAAGATCAGCGAGCATGCGGCAAATGTGGAAGTACTTCATCAGTGTCGCAGATGGACGGTGAAGCGACAGCTCCCCTGGTGGCCAGAAAAAGTTGGAATGTTAAATAGCCTCTGACTGTCTGTCTATATGTGTTGTGTGTCTATGGCATTGAATGTTTGCCATGTATATGTACATTGTAATCTGCCCTGAGTCCCCTGCGGGGTGAGAAGGGCGGAATATAAATACTATAAATAAATAAACACAATCCACACTGACAAAATTACCATCTGTCAGTGGTAAAAGGCCACCCTACTGGGATTCACATGCATTATTCCCCAATACATCACATGGTCCTAGACACTTGGGAGGTGTCCGACGTGTGATCCAATACAACAACCAGCATAGTGATCTTGTTTGCTCTGTACTAATCTTGTTGTTTCAAATAATAATAATAATAATAATAATAATAATAATAATAATAATACACTTTAGGTTGTTGTAGGTTTTTTCCGGGCTATAATACACTTTATTTATATTCCACTCTATCTCCTCAAAGGGAGTCAGAGCAGATATATGGCAAGCCTTTATACTGTGCTCAACTTTGGCCATGAGGAGGTGCTTGTTGTCTGTAGATGCCATCGTGATTGTGTTGCCAGCATGTTTTGCATGGGTGCCTTTTACCTCACTGCCAATGCATTACCTATTGATCTACTCACATTTGCTTTTGAACTGCTAGGTTCGAACTGACAACCTTCTAGTTAGCAAGTCTTCTGCAGCTAGTGGTTTAACCTGCTGTACTACCACAGCCCTATGAATCTTTAAGTCAAAGCCAAATGGATGGCAAATAAAGCCAACAACATTAATCAGTCAGAAGAAAGACAAAGCCTTACCTAGTGAGATCAGGTTCTTTGAATTTTCCTCCATCACTTCTCTGTGCAAAGTTTTCTGGTCAGGGGACAGAAGGGCCCATTCCTCCTCTGTGAAACGTACAGCCACCTCTTCAAAGGACACTAGATCCTGAAAAGAGAAGACAAGAACAATTATTTATTTATTTATTTATTTACAGCTTTTATATTCCGCCCTTCTCACCCCGCAGGGGACTCAGGGCGGATTACAGTGTACACATATATGCCAAACATTCAATGCCAATTTGACATACAACATATACAGTCATACACAGAGGCTATTTAACTTTTTCTGGCCGCCATGGGAGCTGTCGCTTTCATCGTCCATCTGCGACACTGATGAAGTACTTCCGCATTCCCCGCATGCTTTTGCTGGAGTGCTTTGCTGGAGTCTTTTTTTATGGCCTCATAAATTAGTTAATTTAGCCTCCCCACACTTTAAGGTGGTACCTAATTTTCCTACTGTCTTTCGGGTTGCAAAGGTCGACAACAGGCTACACACAATTGGTTGGAAACCCACTCCAACCTGGGCTGGCTTCGAACTCATAACTCATAAGATCAGAGTGATCTTAATGTAGCTGACACTCAGCCAGATGCGCCACAATCCCAGTGCACAATTGGGTGGGGAGCCAGGGAAAAAATAAAAAGTTTATCTCAGAGAAATAAAAGTAATTTGAATTTTACATGCTTCTTTACTACCTGCCAAAAATGTAGCAATGGTCACAATATATTCAATGGTGGATTGAGTAAATTCATGGAGGGCAGATCAATCAAAGTCTTTATGTTACAGCATGATTTCAAAAGTTTTATGTTACAAGATGAAAAGTATGAAAATACTACCCTCTACAACAGGGGTCCTCAAACTATGGCCCAGGGGCCGAAAACGGCCCTCCAAGGTCATTTACCCAGCCCTCGTTCAGGCTCAACCTAAGTCTGAAATGACTTGAAAGCACACCAAAACAATTCCATCTCATCAGCCAAAAGCAGGCCCACACTTCCCATTGAAATACTAATAAGTTTATATTTGCTAAAATTGTTCTTCATTTTAATTATTGTATTGTTTTTAAGTGTTTTTTGCACTACAAATAAGATATGTGCAGTGTGCATAGGAATTCATTCATTTTTTTTTCAAATTATAATCTGGCCCTCCAACAGTTTGAGGGACTGTGACCTGGCCCTTGGTTTAAAAAGTTTGGGGACCCCTGCTCTACAATTTCAGATCACAATCCTGTTGTGTTGGCTCTAGCTAACAGAAAAGAAACATTTAACTGGAAATTGAGTAAATCATTGCTATATTATGAAAAAGTAATCCCAAACGCAAAAACAGAGTTGCAATTATTTCATGAGGAGAATTAAATAAAGGGATTAGTATAAGGATGGTTTGGGACGCCAGTAGTTTTATGAGAAGCGTCTTTATACAATAAAATGCTGCAACTAAAAGAAAGAGACAATAAAACATGAACCTGACTCAAGATACAATCAAGAGGAAAGAGAATGATTTTCAAAAGAACCTTTCAAATAACCAATTGATTTATGAAATCAAAAGGCTACAAAAAAAAAAAACAGCTTTCTATCATGACAGTTGCAGAAACTGAAAAAAAAGAGATATGCAAAACAGGAATATTTTGAATCAAGAAATAAAACAGAAAGATGGTTGGTCTATTGAGGTGTGTATTACATTTGATGGCACACTAGATACGAGTAAATATGGGTACTAAATTACACAGATAAATACACACACACACAAACATATACACAACACAGCTACAGAATTGACATATACTGGCAACAGAATGCAAATCAAAACTCGTGATTAAAATTTGATGGATTGACCTGCTGGAAGAGTTAGGTCTTTGATTGTATTTTAAATTCCAGCAGCTCATTTAACTGTTTTAACTAATTTATTTAAAGAAAATTATGATAAAGTATGGAAAGATATTTTAAAAGATTTGCATAGATGATAAGGTTTACAACTCTTATGGACAGAATTTGTATGATGACATGATAGCAACAGTCTTGCATAGCATTGCATAACAATGGGACTCAGACACACATCTTATGTATTAATTTACTTATTTTCTATATTTATATCCTGCCCTTCTCACTCCGAAGGGGACTCAAGAGCGGCAGACATAAAGGCACAAATCGATGCCATACAGATCCAGCAAATAAAACATAGAGATTAAAACAACAACTAAAAACATTTCAACATTGAAATTATTAAAATCACATAATCCAATATCGTAGTTCAGGCTGTTTCAGTTATCATTGCACCATTCCACATTCACATCTTTCATTGATAGATTATTCGAAAGCTTGGTCCCCCATCCACATTTTCAGGTTTTTCCTAAAGGCCGGGAGAGAGGGGGCTGATCTGATGTCACTAGGGAGGGAGTTCCACAACTGAGGGGCCACCACTGAGAAGGCCCCGTCTCTCATCTCCACCAGCTGAGTTTGCGAAGAAGGTGGGATCAAGAGTAGGGCCTCCCCAGGAGATCTTAAAGTCCAAGATGATTCATAGAGGGAGATACACTCAGATAGGTAAGCTGGGCCAGAACCATTTAGGGCTTTATAGGCTAAAGCCAGCACTTTGAATTGTGATTGGTAGCAGACTGGCAGTCAGTGGAGCTGAACTTACTCCATGCTGAGTGGGAGAGGGGAAATCACTGTCATAATCCTCCACCTCCTGAAGCTGAGGCTGATTTGTGAATGTGCACAGAGCAGCCCTAGATTCAGGAAATATAGAGTGGTGGTAAAACAACCCCCCTCCAGTGCTATGTGAATGTGCACACGGCCCTCTGCTACGAGGCCCAGCTGATAGGAATGCATTCTTTATGTTTGCTAACATCTAGAGGAGGGGCCCTCAAACTTTTGAAGCCAGACTGCTGGAGGGCTGGACAATAGTTAAAAAAAACATAAACAAATTCCTATGCACACTGCATGTATCTTCTTCTCTGTACTCCAAAAATAGCCATGTAAGAACAACATAATATTTACAACGAAGGACACTGTTAACCAACATAAACTTACCAGTATTTCAATGGGAAGTGTGGGTGATGAGATAGTCAAGTTAATTTAGAGGGTTACTGTTGTGGGCCTTCAAGCCATTTCAGACCTAAGACGACCCTAAATCTAAGGTTTAGGGCAGGGACTGGGGAAATTATCTTGAAGGGTCACATCTGGCCCACAGGCCTTAGTTTGGGAACCCCTGATATAGTGCGTTCCCTAGCCACCTGCAAACCTAGGGGGCACTGACGAACTTTGCTCCACTTTCTGTGGGGTATTCTGACCATAGAATTATCCTAGGTGACCTAGATATTCTGAGTGGCATTATCTCTAGGACTCTCTAGATCAGTGGTTCTCAACCTGTGGGCCCCCAGGTATTTTGGCCTACAACTCCCAGAAATCCCAGCCAGTTTGCCAGCTGTTAGGATTTCTGGGAGTAGAAAGCCAAAACAACAGGGGACACACAACTGAGAACCACTGTTCTAGATCCTCCAGTGTGACTCTGGTCAATTTCAAGAGAAAGACAATAGAGAGTTCCACTGGAGAACCTAAAGCAAAGGTGTCAAATTTATGGCCCTTCATGTTTTGGGACTCCCAGCTCCTTGGCGCTCTAACTAGCTTGTCCAATGATCAGAAATTCTGGGAGTCGAAGTCCAAAACTGCTTAAGAGCCATGAGTTTAACACCACGGACATAGGGGTTCCTAGAAAGAACATTTCAGTCAAAACCGCAAAACCCAAACCCACAAATGTGGAGAGCCAACTGGACATGTGAAATGTCTAGATATCTTTCTGCAGGATTCCAAGCTGGCTTCATTGAAAGGTTACTCTCACCTGATTCGAGAGCCACACAGCAAGCGATTGCATTCCAGCATGAAGAGGAGGGGGCCTCATGTGAATTGTGTGGGTCATCTCTCCACCTACAACAAAGATCACAGAAAAAGGAGAACATATATTGCTTACTTAAAATGAACAGTTGTATTAATGGGCTCTCAGCTTTAGGCTTTAATCTAGAGTTCAAAACTACCCAAGAGGATGGACCCTATCCCCTCAAAACAGGTCAGCAACACATATCCAGGAGAGATCTTTCTAAATTATCGAATCATAGAGTTGGAAGAGACCTCATGGGCCATCCAGTCCAACTCCCTGCCAAGAAGCAGGAAAATTGCATTCAAAGCACCCTGACAGGTGGCCATCCAGCCTCTGTTTAAAAGCTTCCAAAGAAGGAGCCTCCACCACACTCCGGGGCAGAGAGTTCCACTGCTGAACAGCTCTCACAGCTAGGAAGTTCTTCCTCATGTTCAGGTGGAATCTCCTTTCCTGTAGTTTGAAGCCATTGTTCCGCATCCTAGTCTCCAGGGCAGCAGAAAACAAGCTTGCTCTCTCCTCCCTATGACTTCCCCTCACATATTTATACCTGCCCCATATCATGTCTCCTCGCAGCCTTCTCTTCTGTGGGCTAAACAAGCCCAGCTATTGAAGCTGCTTTTCAAAGGGCTTGTTCTCCAGACCCTTGATTATTTTAGTCATTTTAGATTGGAAATTGATTCCATTTACTTCCTAGTTTTTAAAAAAGTCTCCCCTGTGTCTAAAATAAACAATAATGGAAGAACAATATAATATTTACAAGGAAGAATACTTTTAACCAACATAATCTTACCAACATTTCAATGGGAAGTGTGGCTGATGAGATAGTCAAGTTGATTCAGAAGGTTGTTGTTGTGGGCCTTCAAGCTATTTCAGACCTAGGGTGACCCTAAATCTAAGGTTTAGCGCAGTGTAAATGATCTTGTACGGTCACATCTGGCCCACAGGCCTTAGTTAGGGAACCCTTGATTAGGACGCGGAACAATGGCTTCAAACTACAAGAGAGGAGATTCCATCTGAACATGAGGAAGAACTTCCTGACTGTGAGAGCCGTTCAGCAGTGGAACTCTCTGCCCTGGAGTGTTGTGGAGGTCCTTCTTTAGAGGCTTTTAAGCAGAGGCTGAATGGCCATCTGTCGAGGGTGCTTTGAATGCAATTCTGCTTCTTGGCAGGGGGTTGGACTGGATGGCCCACGAGGTCTCTTCCAACTCTTTGATTCTATGACTATGATTCTATGGTGCATCTCCTAGCTACCTGCTTGGCAAACCTAGGGAGGATTGAGGAACTTTGCTCCATGTTCTGCAGGGTATCCAAGGTGACCTAGATATTCTGAGTGGTGTTATCTCTAGGACTCTCTAGATCAGTGGTCCTCAACTGGTGGGTCCCCAGATGTTTTGGCCTACAACTCTCAGAAATCTCAGCCAGTTTACCAGCTTGTTAGGATTTCTGGGAGTTGAAGGCCAAAACATCTGGGGACCCACAGGTTGAGAACACTATGTGAAGAACAGGAGGGTGATCACACTTTTTAAACAGGGCCAGGTCACAACCCCTCAAACTGTTGGAGGGCCGGATTATAATTTGAAAAAAAAATGAATGAATTCATATGCACACTGCACATATCTTATTTGTAGTGCAAAAAAACACTTTAAAACAATACAATAATTAAAATGAAGAACAATTTTAACAAATATAAGCTTATGAGTATTTCAATGGGAAGTGTGGACCTGCTTTTGGCTGATGAGATAGGATTGTTGTTGTTGTTGTGTGCTTTCAAGTCATTTCAGACTTAGGTTGACCCTGAGCGAGGGCCAGGTAAATGACCTTGGAGGGCTGTATCCGGCCCTCGGGAGGGGATTTTTCCTCTAGTGCAGTGGTTCTCAACCTGGGGTCCCCAGATGTTTTTGGCCTTCAACTCCCAGAAATCCTAACAGCTGGTAAACTGGCTGGGATTTCTGGGAGTTGTAGGCCAAAAACATCTGGGGACCTCAGGTTGAGAACCACTGCTCTAGTGTGACTCTGGTCCATTTTGAGAGAAAGTCAATAGAGTGTTCCACTGAAGGATCTAAAGCAGAGGTGTCAAATTTATGGCCTTCCATGTTTTAGGACTCCCAGCTCCTTGAAGCCCTTTGGAGATATAGAGGATCTCCAAAACATGCCAAAAATGTTCCCCATAACTCTTAACTCCCCATAACTCACTGAAAGCATTTGAGATCTTTGGGGGCAAAAGAATTTGACCCTAACTTTGTTGAGAAAGCCTACTGCTGTTTTAATGCATCGGAATGACTAAGTGGTTGAGACAGGCCCGTAGCCAGGATTTTGATTCAGGGGGAGCTGAGTTTGATTTGGGGGGGGGGGGGCTGAGTCTGAGTGAAAGAGGGTCTACCCTAGCAAACCTTTTGTATTGTTACCCCAATACCCCCATGCATATGGGATATATTGAGCATGGTGATCAGATCATGATATGAAAACATAACAGTTTAAATAATGTACCAGTAAGGCCTTCTCGCAGACCACAATGAGAATTTCGGGGGGGGGGGCTGAAGCCCCCCAAGCCCACCTCCCCCACCCCCCCGGCTACATGCCTGCCTCCAAAGTTTCCCCTTGCTAGCCAGCACTTACAGCACTGAGTTACATACATAATATATCGTGATCATTATCGTGATCAGATCATGATAATGTACCAGTAAGGCCTATGCTGGGGAAAGTGGAAGGTAAAAGGAAGAGGGGCCGACCAAGGGCAAGATGGATGGATGGCATCCTTGAAGTGACTGGACTGACCTTGAAGGAGCTGGGGGTGGTGACGGCCGACAGGGAGCTCTGGCGTGGGCTGGTCCATGAGGTCACGAAGAGTCAGAGATGACTGAACGAATGAACAACAACAACAAGGCCTACTCACGGACCACCATGTACCAGTTTAAATAATGTACCAGTAAGGCCTACTCGCGGACCACCATGAGAATTTTGGGGGGGAGGGGGCTGAAGCCCCTCAAGGCCCCCCCCCCCCCGGCTACATGCCTGGGTTGAGAACAAAGGAGAGATAGATGAAGGTTTTACCCAGAGATCTGAAGAATGCAAAAGAATGAGATAAAAACTGGAAAAAGTGACCATTATTCCCTACTTGATGTGGCGGCTGTTCCATCCTTCTTGTGTTGGTTCTCCATGAACAATGGCTCCTGCGTGGAATCCATCACAGTCATCACTCTCTTGTGAAAAACTCTCGCCAACTTCATTTGTCCTTCCCCCTGAAATAGTATCAGAGAAATGCGGAGAACGCATTAGAATTTATGGATTTATTATTTACATGCATTAACTTACATTTATACCTAGCCTCTCTCCCACTTTCGGCCTCACAACAAAGGTTAAAAATCCATCTTTATCATAAATGAGTGTTGAAATGTTAAGTAAACTACACTCTACATTAAGAACACTGCAAAAGATACATGAATAACCAGTCTGATGTAGATGCACCTTTGGAAAACATCTCACCTGCTTCTTGTTATCCTCCATTTGGCTCAGGAGGAATCCTTCAGCTACGGCCACC